TGTGATATCCAAAACTTCCGGCCCATAAACACAGCCTTGATCGAAGACCTACACAGCAGTTATACTCGCCAAGCATTTTCAGCAGCACGGCCTCACTCTGACCAACCTTCTGACCCTTCTTGATAAGAGGAACATCGTTGAGGATTTCGATAGTACCCCTAGTGATCTTGGTTTGAATGTTCAGAGCCTGGAAGAAACTGGTCTTCTCGGGACCGAGTCCAGTGTTTAAAGCAGGAACTGTAACATCACAGGGTGCAATTGTGCCGGCTTTGGCTGGTGCTTCAAGGCGATTACTCTCAAGAGCTCTACGCACCTCCCCAAGATCCCGCCGAACCCCGAAGGGCACCACGAATCGACTGCTTCTGCGTGATATCACGTACTCTTGTCTCATACTTATACAATACAACGAGACAAACGACGTGTATTAGTCACACCAAAAGGATGGCCAACCTAAACCTTACTATAAGAAAAGCCCAAAATCATACGGGTGATTGTGCCCCACGAAGTTTAATGTGTGTAGAATGCATCAACATCATGGCAACGTATTGAGCACTCATTAACATAACAGTAGTTAATTACAAGTTTAACAATAGGACAAGTTACAGATACAGCTACCGAAGTTGATGTCAGGGGGATCAAAACAAACGAAATGAGAGGAGAGTGGCAATTACTTAAAGACGTCAAGCAATTATATCTTATCAACAAACTGAACAAAGGCCACACAGAAAGCAAACTGTTCTATTTTAAAACGCTCGTAAAAGAGCTGGCGCAGTCCCATGAATTTGGCCGCTCCGAGGAGCCAATCCACTGCCCAAGCGAGTTGAATCAGTTGGCGCAGCTTCTGCCGCAACGTTTCGCTTAGCTCCTTTAAGAGGTGCGAAAACCACACTTCCGCCGACTCCACAATGAGCCAAATCTCCTCACTGTTCGAATTTTCCGGGACTTCCACTGGTATCTATGATGGAGGATGAGAAAGCACACTTTGCAATACAACTTGTACTGCCTACATAGCAGTCGGCGTCACGTGAATGCGATGCTGGGTCTTATTTGAGCCCTTATGTGATGCATACTTGATATACCGAATGGAAAATTTACTTTGCAGTAGAAATGAGTTATGGAGGGCCATTTCACTTTGACACTTTTAGTAGACTAGGAAATGCAATTCTTTGAACGATTGGAGAGACATTGTTATAGCTCGTGATATATGAGAAGTAAAGTGAGTGTAATCCTGTATTGCACTAAATCAATTAGAGTTTAACCATATGGGAGCAATCAAGCATCAATGGGAGTTAAAACATTTCTTCCCGTATATGTACCTGTTGCAAAACACCACATTCAGGCAAAACGTTGCATCATTCATGCAAAGGCGAACAAAGGCTCACCGGTATTTTCGGAACAACCCTTTCAAATTGAGACGGACAAAGGAGTCGTTTGAGGTTAGATAGAATGCACCAGGTGTGTAGGACGTCTGCGACAAGGCAGGCTGGAGGACGAGCAGAGGGGCTACGCCGCAAACAAGAGCGCAGCATCCAGGTCAGCACGCCGGGCGCAGCACTGGGCAACTCGGGTAATGCTGATTCTACGTAATTCTCAGAGAGTAGCTCCTGTATCGAAACAAGAAGAGCCGATGTCATCTGTCCGAGTTTAGCCAACTATCGATAACTTACTCCAGAGAACAAGTCTAAATCCAGTACCTATGCGCCATTAGGTGACAGTTTTACGTTAAGAAAGGACTATTGGACACTTACACCCGATAAGAAGGGATTGGGGAGATTAAAGAGTTGATAGACTATGGTGGCGATAGCCCAGAGGTCTGCGCAATAATAGAGAGATGGATGGGTGCATTGTAGATCGGAGTTTTGGGACCTGGAGAAGTGCACAGCCACCTCGGGCGCCCAGAGGGCGGTGTTTCCGCTGTGTGAGATGTTAGCACAATCACGACCGGCGGCGTGGTCAACCGTTCGAATAGCGCAACCGAAGTCGGTCAGTGCGACTTGCACACGTGTGTTAATTGCTTCCACCATTTGCCCTTTAATGAAAGGACCACAATACATCAAGGCTGAGTTGGAGGACAGTAATTAATGCTAGTGGTTTCCCAAGTGAGAAGCTTCCATGACAAAAACAGCATTTGATACGAGAACGATCCACCAACTTCTAAATGGTCTAAAATACGCATCCACACCTGCATATGGGTGTAAAAGATTTCATATCAATTAAAGCTTCTCCCGTTGCTTACTGTTCAAAAAGCATACTCCCTTCGGAAGACGCCTGCTTTTAACAAGAAAATTTGATGGTCTGATGTCTCGATGAGCGATACGATAGCGCTGAAGTCGAACCACTGCTTCAACCATCTGAACAGTCATACCAACGGCCTCTTCAATAGGTATAAGAAAGGGAGAAAGCTCCACGTTAGAGCGTTGAGAAGTCGTGGGATTCTAAAGAGCAGAGGTTGAATAATTTGTTACTTGAATCAAGAGGAGGGAATACATAAAATGGTAATGAAACCCAATATGACAAAAACAATTGATAAGATGAGAGGTAACACTACTTAATAACATCAGAAGGACTTCCAGTTGGAGTTTCGTATGGACTAGAAACTGTAGATGAAAAATCAGTAGTCGGTTCCCATTTTGCTTCCAAAAAATCCTCGAGAGATGCTTCAAATCTGAACAAAAGGAAAAGAGACTACATCTCAACATACAATGAAAAAAAACAAGATTAGAATTAAATTAATCAAATTAGATGTCGAAATTAACATTAAACAGGGCGAACCTCTCCATAAGAAGGTACAGAGTATATGGACAACCACTAAAGCCGTCTGGAAAATTCTCGACACCTTCCCACCTCGCCTCACTTCCACCTTCTCCCACCGTTCGGACGGGAGGTGTGCGATCAAAAAAATCAGCGAGAATGGGAACTATGTTGGGATGCAGTCCTGGAGGTCGCAAATTAACTTCACGATCTCTCTGCTTGTGGAGGAGGTACAAATCGTCTGAGTCATCTTCGTAGTAGTTGTAGAAAACCTTCGCAGCCACCTCTTGTTTTGAGATTTGCGATCAAATAAGAGAAGGACCGAGAAAATACTTGTACATCACAACAGAATAACGTTAAAGGCAAGGGGAAGGTATTCATGACAGTTCAACCAAACAAGCAATGATCCACTAACCAATGACGTTTTAAGGGCTGATCCAGTTTAAACGGCAATTACGATTAAATTGTGCCTATTGGAATGCCATACATATGGTGGCAACGAGAAAAGTAGCCTTTGTCTAGCTGAACAGGAAGACTACAGCCATCGTTGTTAAGAGTTCTCAAGGAACGATGAAGGTAATCAAAATTATTTCAATAACTAATCATAAATATGACAAATGAATATCGATAAGTTTATCCGTTCATCAGCTATTCACCTTTTTTTCCATCCTTTTCATGAGCCGGATACTTTGCCGCCCACACGGCTCCGGAAGAACCGTGGGAGAGGAACTTTTCTGGCTCGATTCGTTCAAACCGGAAACGCTTAACATAATCCCGTCGCAATCTATCATACGATCTGAGCGGAGAGTAGACGCTCCTAAAGGAGATGCTACAAGACAAAGAGCAATTTTGACAAGGGTTTCAAGAGTAAAAAATAGTATAAGCATAAAAAGATATAAGTACAGAACTCATAATAAGCATCTAAGGCTGTATTCATTACTACGTAAACTGACTCATTAAAAAGATCGTTTCGATACCGAACGATTGTAGACACGCTATTGAAGGCCCTAATAAATGAATTGGGCCGAACACGACTACTGGATGAGAGAACAATCTTCCCCATTCTTTGTACAATGGAATAGTGATGGGTACCATAACGACTAGTGTTTACAACAATTCGTCGCAAAACAGGTTTTGCTTTAGCATAATGTGCTCCTGCCAAGATCTACAACACTCTATCACCACAGTGAAGTTTACCTTACGGCCGATCTCACTTGTCCAACCAATCCTTGAAAAATACTTTATGACACTTAAAATATGCCTTATCATCACAAAGCTATCATTTTACACTGGTAAAAAGCATACGCCCAGCCAGGCCAAAAGCCTTGGCGAGAGGCAGAGTAGTTAAAACAACTCTTGTCTCCTAGTGTTTAATATCATTACTAGCTATAAATAACTATATATTTGTTTGTACTTCGTGTTACAGTTATAATTCTTGTAAATATTTAGATACGTGAATAAAAATGAAGGTGTGTTTAGGGGGAACTTTTCGAGGGAGTAAAATAGGACTTTCAGAATGGCCTATAGGCCATCTCACCTGACTAAGGCAATACAGTCATTTCAACTGTGTTTTGCATCTTTAGTTCGGCGAGAAAAGCATCGCACGTTTCCCATCTTCTTGTGGGCGACACTCTTCCATGAGCCTCCCGCATTTGCCATACCCACGTAATCGATGCTGAAAAAATACACCTACAAGCCGGCTGCACGAGCAATCGATTCGAGAAGAAAAATTTTTGGTACTTGAACTCAAAGCTACGGTTTTATTTCAGTAAATTTATTTGCATTTGGAGTTTTGCTTTATACTTGAATAAGATTTAAGGAGGCATAGTTTTGGTGGCCATTGTGCGTGTCCATGAAATGGAATTTACCGACCTTCTAAAAGAGGAAAAGAGGCACTCAACAGTCCCATGGGGAGGAGTTTGCTCACAGTGTCATTGCCTGGTGTCTATATGCAGGCGTGGTAAAGGGAACTACTGAATGAATCCTTTCCAGACGTTTCATGACATCCGTTCACGCCTGTGAAATGTGGCGTCACTACTAACCCTTTTGTTATCAGTAGCTCTGAGAGTCCCCTTTCAGTAGCGTATTTGCTTTAGTTTCAACCTTTCTGATTGCCCCAAACTTATCAAACCAATGTAGAACTAATCGAGGATTAATTCGCATTTGACTGTCATCAAAGACTGTTCAAAAGCTTTTCAAAGGACTAAAGAAGAGGTTTATAGGCTGAAGCTTAGCCATCTTAAATGTTAACCACTATAAATAGTGGTCAAACAAATAAACTATTACAGATTATGCATCTTAATCCTATAGACCACAAGAAAATCTCCTTTATCCTTTTACATGCTGCCGATACAAGCACCTTCGTATAAGCGTTGCTCATTTTAATTTAAAGGGAGCCTTGAAGTGGTGCTTTATAAATGGCTTTGATGATACAGGAATTGGTGACGAGACACCACCGAGTATTTGGGTTTAAGCTGTACTCACCGATTATTTACGGTAGACTAAGAGTGGGGACGTGAAAGTTCTCACACAATGCTGCAGATTAGAAATCTTGATCACACAACTTTCAACATATTTTTTTGATTATTCCAAATCCTGGTATTAGCAAACTGCCACAGCCCAGTCGGATCCTAAAAAGGCATTTCCACATTACATCCCCTCTATTCTGTGCAGTGAGTGAACTGAGTCCCGCGCAAACTCGTAAAACTGGTGCCATGCCACAACTACACTCTCCTCCAACCGCCTTTACTCACTAAAATTTGCCTAGCACGTCCTCACGTTGAGTTTTACACCCAACACTAAACCTCATTTTTGTAGTGGCAAACTTCCACAACCCCACCTGCCATACAGCCATACAGCTTACGACTTCGAAGCATTCACTCTCCACAACCGAACTCCAAGAATGTGCTAGGAACGCGCCGTTTTGAGGGCAACACACTCCTAAACGGCATTCATCGTGTGTTCAAATTGTAGAAATAGCGACTTCTAAGACGTGTTAAGCCAGCCCTTAAGGAGATAGAAACTCAATGATCCTAACATCCCTTGGACAAAAATAATAGCTTTACCTCCACTTCACCGAGAATTCCCACCACAGGGCAACTTTTGTGCCGGAGTTTTGAACAAGTCCAAAGCAGTCATTTCTTGCGGGATAGATACAGAAATATGTAAAAAGGTAAAGGAAAATCATAAATTGGTTCTTCAAATTTGCATGTTTCCTGGTACCTCATGTGCAAAGGTGTGACATCCTCAAAGTGTAGTCACGTGATATGATGGAGAAGAAGGAACACGAAATAAAGTATAACTAAGACAATGCCAAAAAGAAAATAACAGTAAGGTAAATGGTGTGGATATGTATCAAGAGGTAGGGCTGATGTTATCTACAAAGGAAGCACGTAGGCTAATAAGCACATAGAAGACGGCAGAGAGGAAGCAAGCAGAAAAGATGAATTACTTTTCAATATCCGAGTCATCGCAAACTATGGAGAGCTCGAGGGGTTTCAACAGAACCGGTGAAGGGGACAGGAGCTCCAATTCTTGTGCCTAAAGGATAACAAGTAAAAGATAGGCCATGGATATATTCTTAGCTTCTTCAACCCATTCAAGTCGTCCCAACAAGACCCCCCCAATATGACAAAAAAGTACCGGACAATCTTCCATCCAAGTAGACTGGGGAGCAGAATCAGTGATATCTTCTTCCTCCTCCCACTGCTCATCAGAGGTATGCCCAGCTGTTGGACTCAGACTGAAATCGGGAGGCAGAGGCGGAATAACCAAGGGTTTGGATATCATACCCGGATCAACAATTTGAGTCCTAATGTAATCTAAGAGATCTGCAACCTCGCTCATTCTTGGACGCTTTTCCGGATCTTCGGACCAAGACCTGGAGTACGGTTAGGGAAGTGTGAGCGTTGATCAATGAAAAAAGGAAGACTGGGAGAGAAATGTACAACCTTTCAAGAAGACGCACGACAAAGAAAGGGCAGCCTCGCAGTGGATGAGGGCGTCGATGCTTGTGAACAAGCTGAGCCAGTGTTACAAAAAAGGGCTCATCAGGAGGGCAGACGTGCTGGCGAGAGAGAATCTCCCAGAAGGTCATCGCAACCGAAAAAACGTCACTTTTCACGGAGTAGTTAACTGGAAATTCAAAGAATAACATAAGAAGTAACTTACTATTGATGAATTATAGCACAAGAATACCCACTTTGAGTAGTCGAGTCGACAGCAAAAAGTTCTGGCGCCATGAAACCAGCAGTGCCTCGTCGGGTTGGGCTCATAGGCTCAGGAAGCTGGGAGGATTCGGCCGATCCAAAGTCACAGAGCTTGAGGCGAGCGCCCTCGTTGAAGATAAGGCAGTTAGCAGGTTTGACATCGCGATGAATTATCGGTATGGAAGATCGCTCGTGGAGAAAAGCCAGTGCCTCTGACAACTGAGACATCCACGAAAGGGCATTAGCTAGATTATACTCAATTGATCTTCTCCTGTGGATTACTAGAAGGGAAAAAATTGCCAAGCCTCAAATTGGTCCTTACTGTTAGGAAATAAAGGTCGCGTCATCGAAGATGGCAATGACAATTATCATGTCTTAAATAAACCCTGAGTCCAATCAAAACCGCTTCGGGTAAATTATCGAGTAAAAGCCATAGATCCTAAAAATGAAGGTGCAAGCAATAAAATTTAAGAAAGTAAACGCATTACAACCAAATCGAATCCCAGAGGAGCAAGGTACAAAGCAAGAACAAAGATGAACCGCCATTTCAGACTCACAGTAATGTAAATCTCCTTCAGGGGCAAACTCAGTAATAATATATTCTAGAAAACCATTTTGGTAATCAGGACCAGCCGCCAACAACTTAACAACATTAGGATGGTTCTGAAGCTTGAGCAAAAGCTCCAATTCCTTATAACGTCTCTTTAGTGGACTTGAGTATTGGAACCATTTTACAAAACCCAGGAGATCATCAACACTTGTGAATCGCAGTTGATTTCGAGAGTTCTTGGAATAACACAAAGGTGAAATATGTGAAATATTTGGTATCATAACTAGATAAAGAAATTCGCAGGCTCAAAGAGACGTTAGGTTTTGCTAACTTATGCCACGCGATAAAGACGCGTGGACATATCCGATGTGGAACAGTGCGTTTGGACTGAGAAACTCAATCACTGATAAATGCACACAAATCACCCCTCATTCATTGGCTATCAAAGCATTTCATAAATCAGTCTTATATAGCATGAAGTGAATTAAATAAACAAAATTTTTTTAAAGAAATAAGCATGAAGCTGACGTGTACGTTTTAGGTTAGGTCAATAATTAAAACTTTGCTTATCTTTTAAAATGGTTAAATTTTACACATTAGCTTGAAGAGTCAATCACAACTTAACTTTCTTTGTTTTAAAAGCGAATCTCTCATATTGCCAGGAATGTAAAAGACACCTATCCAAGGCAGATTATGTACCAATGACGCATAACATGCCTGAAAAATAATGCAATAGCTAAAAGTGTGACTTGCTTGAAGGTGATAAACTAACATTTCCCTAACTGGCATTTTAAACTATACAAGATGCTAATCTAGCTGCAACATTTAAATACATATCACTTTTTAAATTGTCTAATGTATGGTAGAGGTGATAATGCAAATTTACACTCCGTGGTAGTTGATTGCGAGGTCACAGCCTAATGACAGTTCT